TTTAAAAAAAATTTTTAATAAAACTTAAAATAGTTTTAATAAAAATTATTCTTTATATTTAATAATTTTTAAATATGTTTTTTTTTAAAAAATTATTTAATAAAAAAAATTAAGTGCCAGTTTTTTTATTCCAAACTGTATATTATTAATGCTGAAGTCCTAATAGCATAGGTGGAGAACTAACTTATCAGAACATACATCTCTAAGTCCCTATCCACTATCCGATAAACAGGAACTTAGAAGACCATCCAAACATAGTTAGCCAGAGACTAGTTATATCCTATTGGCTTTAACTAGATCTAAAAAAATTTTTAAAAAAGTAAAAATAGAGTATGTGTGTGTGTTTACATATGAATATCTATAATAATTTGTAGAAAAATCCCTTAAAACCTGCAGACATATTTGTGAAACTACAAAGGGGAAAAAACTACTTATTGTTCTAAAGAAAAAATCTGTTTATATACTATAGTGATTTCTATATTAATTTGTAATTGGCCAATACTTCTTATACCTTCTTGTTGATCTTTATCTAATCTGAAAAATCTCTAACTAGAATTAGCCATTTGCTTCTTGTTTTAAGTGGAGTGCCATCGTTGCTATTCATTACAATCAGATAAAGTTTAATCGCAAGGTATCCAGCTTTAAACCAAACAAAGAATTGGATACTGCATCACAAATAAAGTTTGTGAAGAAAAGTGAAGAATATTGATCTTTATTCTCATTTGTAATTATATGTTTTGCCATATTAACATTGTTGTTGTGCTTTGTTAGCCTATATCTTCTAGCTGTATAAGAAATACCATCCAACTTTTTGTTATTAAGGAGTCAACATTAACCCTAATGGTACTTTCAGTTTGCTATTCAAGGTAACTTGTTTGAGGATAAAGGGTACTGTTTTTGATCTTATAGCTTCTTTACTAGCAAGAACTATATCTTCGGAGAGAGTACAGTATAGTGCAGCTAACCAGTATGTTTATGAGTTCTTTAACAAAAGTTTTTCTCTCAAAAGAAAGAAAACTTCCTAAAAAGGAAATTTTTAAAAAATGTGTAGTAAACGAAAAAGAGTTTTTTGTTGTTTTTTTTTTTAAAATATTTTTATTCTTTTGCTAAAGAACTTTTTTCAATATAAAATATAAAACTTTATATTAAAAATATTTATATTATTAACTTGTAAAACTAATAATATATAAAATACAACTTTTAATATCATTTAACATATTGTAATAAAATAATTAAATTCCATTATATTATCTAATTATTATTATTTTTTTTTTATTATTATTTTAGCTTTTTTTGATATTATTTTATTATTATTTTATAAATTTATTCTTAAAATTATTATTTATAGAAAGAAATAATATCATAATTCAAAATAGTTGTATATTTTTAATTACATAATTATGTGATTAATTTGTAAATTTTTGTCACTTCTTTAAATTTCTATAATTTTTATATAATAGACAATCTTCAGTGTGAAATATTTCATTATTTCATTAGAAAACTAGTCAAAGTTATTCTAAAAGAAAATATTTTATTAATATTATCAAAGTTAGTTACTTAATATAATTTTAAGTAATTTAGAACTTTTCATTTCAAATAAAACTATTATTCATCATTAATAAACAAGTAAAGAGATAATTGTATAACTAAAAACAATATATAAAAATAACTACTTCATTTTTTTGAAGAACAATACAGTTATAAATTTCATAATTATAATCATTATATTATTTGATCTTTATTCTTTTTTTAAATCTTTAATAAACTATATTTTATTTTTATTATTAATTTAATAAATCTTTGTTAATAAATTTTCTTATATTTTTATAAATTAATTGATATAAATATTTTGACAGGCTTATATATATATGATCATATAAGGAGAACAGTTTTTGCAATACTAATTGTCATTGATTTGCTAAGCAGCAATATATTATAATTGATATAGAAAAAATAGCTTATTTTACTATTTATATTTAAAGCTAATCAAATAATATTTTAATTATTTATAAAAGTTAATAAAGGATTTATCTATTAAAGAAATTCTTAAAAAGTCATAATTCTTGAGATTAACATTTAACTTGTTATATACTTTGTATTCAAAAAATATTATTTCTTTTTAAATATATATCTTGTAATATACAAATAAATAAAGAAATAATATTTAATTACAAAATATATACTGTATATATATATATATATATAAAGTTAAATTTAATTATTCTTTTAAAATAAATTAACAGTTAAAACTCTCTCCTGATTGTGTTTACTTTGTTAAAATTTTTTCTTTTATAGTAATTTTTGTCAAGAAAAAATGTTTTACACTCTTTATCGCAAGTGAGCCTAGCTTAAGAACTCAAGAACTTTCAAGACAACTGGTGCAGTGGGATGGAATCTTTGGTCTAATTCTACTCAAGTTTGGAAGTCTTGCTTATCCTTCGATTACATGAGAAAAGGCCTGTGACAGTTCTCTTTTATTTTGTTCTTTTGCATCTTTCTTTTCATCTATTATAACATAAAAACTATCCATATCAATACCATTATATATACTAAGTCAAATACCTTCCAAAAAACATACTCAAACAGAATTATTGGATTTACTGTTTATTTTAATACAACCTATATATATAACTCTATTATGGTAACAATTACTATGCCATTTCAAAATTTCCAAAACTTTTTGTCCAAAAAACCAAAATCAGTTTACCCCCTCCAAATGATTATTGCTTTTTAATCATTTAATCAGATTTTGTTAAAACAATAAAGAAAAAACTGAAATTGCTCAAACCGGTTTTCTAGTATAACAATAACAACAACAATAACAAACAATATTATATGTATTCTTTTATTTATAGTAATCAAAGAGCTGGAAAAATAGGACCACACACTTGTCCGAAGACTTTCTTAAGAAAATAATTAGATTTTTACTTATAGATTTTATAGTTTATTCGATTTAGTTTTAGTTTTAGTTACAGTTATTATTTTTTTTTATTTATCTTATATTCAAAAAATCAAAAGATTTTACAAAATTTTATTAAGTAGATAAGCATAGCCACTACTTCATTATTTAATATTTTAATATTATTTTTGAAATTTTTTACAATATTAGTTAAATAGTGATCAAGTAAACAAACTAGTATTTAACTTGTTGTATGCAATATGCATCCAAGAGATATTGTTTCTTTCTCAATATATACATTCAATATATGATAACGAATAAAGAAATAATATTTACCTATTAGGAAAAACCTTTCCCCCCAAAAAAAAATTTATTCTTTTAAAATAATTAGAGATTTCTTTTTATTAAGTATATCTTATTTCGAGTTTATAGTTAAAAGAAAAAAATTTTTAATGTAACATTTATTACAGGACATTTTCCCTTAACCAAAACTAAAATGTCATATTTATAATACAATTTATATTGTGTGTAATGACAACAGGATCAATATGTCCCATGACTGATATATGAAATAACCTAGTGTAACAGTAATTTATTGTTACATATTACATAATGCTTTTAAAGTTGTACGATATACTGCTTTTGTTTTTAGATCTATAGATTTGAATCATAATTATCAATATTTCATTGAAAATAGGTAAAAGTGGTCAAGACCCAGTAGTACAATAATATTAGTAATCGGCTTGACGTTACCGATCCTGAACATTCCGACCAGATCTCAGAATCGTGTAGCCCGATGATGAAATCACATGATATAATATCGATTCTTTAAAGAACCCGACCATGAAAGATCGAAGTTGAGATATAGAGTAAAAAAATGCAACGTTTAATCATATATTTCCATGTGGAAGGTCCAGTCGATTTACTACTGGGAAGTGAAGAATGATATTGAACGGAATTGCAACTAATCTCTTTTATGCATATCGCATGTCAACACAGATATTTCTACTTAATGCACCCATGTGATGCCATATCGGATATTAAATGATACATATACACGCTTATAAAAATTTTTTACAGGTCGTGATCACCAAATTTCTATCTTGAAATGTCTGAAGATTTCGCGGTTCCTGCAAATCTGACACCTATTGAAACAAGAACGACTAAGGTTCATAATGGTGTTACTAAGGCCACATTTGCTGTTAAGACGGGCTTTGCCCAGAATTTAAAGGTTTGCTTGCAATGCTTTTAATACATTTGATTCACCATAACTTTAAGTAAAAAGAAAACATGTACATATAGAATGGTGTAATCATGGATGTTGTCAATGCTGATCAAGCTAGAATCGCAGAAGAAGCAGGTGCAGTTGCTGTGATGGCATTGGAACGGGTGCCAGCTGATATCCGAAAAGAAGGTAACAAATCATTTATGAATTATTTCTCTTTAAGATTTTTGATAAAAATTTCTTACCACTCTGGTTTTAGGCGGAGTATCACGTATGTCTGATCCAAAGTTGATCAAAGAAATTATAAAAGCTGTTACTATTCCAGTAATGGCCAAAGTACGAATTGGTCATTTTGTCGAAGCGCAGGTACATTTATTGTCTCTTTATTTCGTAATTATTTATTGAAAAATTAGATGCATATCTTAACTATAATATTAAACAGATATTGGAAGCTATTGACATAGATTTTATTGACGAATCAGAAGTTCTTACCCCAGCTGACGAGCAGAACCACATAAATAAACACAATTTCAAGATTCCTTTCGTATGCGGTGCAAAAAATCTAGGCGAAGCGCTTCGTCGAATTTCTGAGGGTGCCGCTATGATACGCACTAAAGGGGAAGCAGGAACAGGTAATATTGTAGAGGCTGTCCGTCACATGAGGACTATTAATAGCGAAATTAGGAAAGCATCTGCCATGAGCGATGAGGAATTGTACAGTTATGCCAAAGAATTACAAGCACCCTATCATTTGTTGAAGGAAACAGCCAAATTAAAAAGACTTCCAGTTGTGAATTTTTCTGCAGGTGGTGTTGCAACGTAAGCATTTCAAAAATTGATGATTAAACAAAAAATTGCGTATTTAATGAATTAAGTGTCTTTAAATCTATTATTCAGACCAGCTGACGCTGCAATGATGATGCAACTTGGTTGTGACGGCGTGTTCGTTGGTTCTGGGATATTCAAATCTGGTGACCCAGCGAAACGAGCCAGAGCAATCGTACAAGCAGTTACTCATTACAACGATCCTAAAATTCTGGCCAGTATATCAGAAGATATAGGCGATCCCATGGTAAGTTTTATACTTAATTGTGTAGATAAATGTTAAATTTATTTATTTATGGTTTCTTTCTATAAAAATCAGGTTGGAATTAATATAGATACCTTACCAGTAAATCAATTAATGGCCAGGAGGGGTTGGTAATTGATGTGGATTTACGTGTTTATACAACACAATGATACTTGCATTTTTATGAGTCTTTACGATATTTATTTATGTCTGAGCATCTCTCTAACTCGAAATCCACAAATTCCATTTGATAATATTGGATAATTTTTTTTATAATCGAAGTCTAGAAAGAAAGCTTTTTGTGTAACTTGAACACATTAATGATTGGAATCACAGTTGAGTCAGGAAAATAAGTACGCGCTTCACATGATTTCATATATAAAGTGAGCGTGATGGATTACATGATCGTTCCGTTACTTGTTGAGTAAATTTTCTAACATAAATTTGACTGCATACAGTATTTGTAATTAAAATATCAACTAAGGATTTGAATAAAAGCATTCTCATAGACTTCTAGTTTGTCAAAGAAATTTTAATCAACAAGTAATTCTTAGAATTCTAAAATACTCTATAAGACTGGTTTTATATGTCTTCTATAGAATTATTACGAGTTTAATAAAGTGCATATTTCCAATAAATATTAACAATAAAAACATAATATATTATATGTTAAAATATTAGTTAATTATAAACTATTGTTTTTTTTATTTAAGGTAAAAGCTTACATATCACCTTTGCAATTACATATAAATATAAATGTATTATTCTTTTTTGTATCATATAAGCATGAAATAATGTTCACTTATACATTATTTTAAAGTAAATGTATTTTTTAAATTTTAGTTCAAATTAAGCATAATTTAAATCAAAATTATATATTGTGACCCAAAATCATTTTGGTCAAATGTCTGAATGGTAGTTTTAGAAGAAGTTTTTAGAGATTATATAGAACTATCCATTGTTCCAGAGATAATCTTTCACAAATATTACAAAAAATAGCAAAGATTCTTTAAGAATCTTTGTAATCAAGATATATTTTAATAAAAGATAATATTTATTAAAATACATAAACAGAATTTCAAGTGATTACAAGAGTGAGTTATTTTAAACTAACTGAACAATTTTATAAATGGCAGCTACTTATATAGTAGTTTTCTTCATAAGCTGCTTAATCTATGTATCATAATATTATAATTTCATAAATTAGATAGTCATGTGAATTCTTTGAACCTTGTGAGCTGCTTAGGTCTTTTAGGCTATCCAATCTATGCTATATGAACTATAAATAACTATATATGTTATAAATAAATAAATAAATTCTAATGCTAAAAATAGAATAAGAAATAAGTAAAATAAGACTAAATTATTTATTCTATTACATATTTACTCTTTTCAAAAGACAAAATTCTTTAAGCCCAAACCTTTTACAAAAACCAAAAAATTATTTTGATAATTTTTATTAGTTATTCTAATGATATAATGTTATGGCTTCAAAAATTGAAATTGAACAGAATTACATGAGATTCAAAACACTATTAAAAATAATAATGAGGTATACTTCACTTATTAAATTT